GGGTCTTGCTCTGTCACCCAGACCGGAGTGCAGTAGCACGATCTTTTCTCACTGCAACCTCTGCCTCCCAGGTTCCAGTGATTCTCCTGCCTCAGCTTCCCGAGTAGCTGGGATCACAGGCATGCACCACCACGCCTGGCTAATTTTTGTATATATATATTTTTTGAGATGGAGTTTTGATTTTGTTGCCCAGGCTGGAGTGCAATGGCATGATCTCAGCTCACTGCAACCTCTGCCTCCTGGGTTCAAGCGATTCTCCTGCCTCAGCCTCCAACATAGCTGGGATTACAGGCATGCACCACCATGCCTGGCTATTTTTAGTAGAGATGGGGTTTCTCTATCTTGGTCAGGCTGGCCTCAAACTCCGAAACTCAGGTGATCCACCCACCTTTGCCCCCCAAAGTGCTGTGATTACAGGGGTGTGCCACTGCACCAGGCTAATTTTTGTATTTTTTATTTTTAATAAAGATGGGGTTTCACCATGTTGGCCAAGCTGGTCTTCAACTCCTGACCTCAAGTGATCCGCCTGCCTTGGCCTCCCAAAGTGTTGGGATTACAGGCATGAGTCACAGTGCTCAGCCTTAAATCAGTTTTGACCCATCCTCAGAGGCCCTAACAAGATTCTGTCAGAAGTTAAAGAGATTATACTGCCTTAACTGATAATTAGCAATTCTTTTCTTAAGAAAAGGTGTAGGAGTACCCTTCTCCAGATAACCATGAAACCTAACAAACAGCACAGCAGTCAGGCAGTTATGTTCCCCAAATAGAAAAGACTACGTGGACAGAATTCCTTCTTGAAGTTCTAAGGGCAAGAAGGGAAACTGGGCACTACTTTTGCTCTGGACAGAGGAAGAATGTTCTCAGGAATTATGCGTCTTTCTGGAGTATATCAGAGTGGTGTTAGGTGTTTTCAGTCATTATTTCACCAGTTTCCATTGCTAAATAAATAAGCAGAAGGCACATAGCCTAACCTCATGAACAGCTCGGAAGGACAGGTGATAAGTAGTGAGATTTTTTAAAAAGTAAATGAGGGGAGGCCAGAGAAGAGACAAGGCCACGAGAATCGGATAGCCATGCCTTTCTTGGACATGCAGAAAAGGTTCGGCATTAACCTAGATCAGTAGTGGACAATCCGAAGTGCTGAACAGCCCTACAAGTTTCCTGCTCGATGCCATGCTTTTGAAAAATGGAGAGAACGTGAACATGGAATCGGTACTATCTGGGCAGAGAAAGAGTGCAAGATAGAATATGATTTCATAGAGTATATACTTCAGAAAAAAACGATTAAATGTATGGATACCATCTGGAGGCAACGGGAAAAACTGATGAAGGAAGGGAAGTGCACCCCTCCACCTCACCACATGGGCAAGGGGGAGCCTCGGCCCTGAGCAGACACAGCTATTGATATCTGGAGGCCAATTTTCATGTTCTCTGTTCTCCACTGGAAAGGTTGTTTATGGAAACAACCTGGGTGTTCTGCCCACGAGGTTTATGGAAAACCTCCTTGTCAAAGTGTGTAAAAATAAAGCATTGCTCCATCCTAAAAAAAAAAAAAAGTAAATGAGGCTGGACGCAGTAGCTCATGCCTGCTATCCCAGTACTTTGGGAGGTCGAGGTGGCTGGATCACCTGAGGTCAGGCATTTGAGACCAGCCTGACCAACATGGTGAAACTTTTGTCTTTTCTAAAAAAAATTACAAAAATTAGCTGGGCTTGGTGGTGGGTGCCTGTAATCCCAGCTACTGGAGAGGCTGGGGCAGGAGAATCACTTGAACCTAGGAGGTGAAGGTTGCAGTGAGCTGAGATTGCGTGCTACTGCACT